CCTTAGCGAGGGGTGTCCTCTATTGAGTCCATGTGCGCCTTATATAAAGGGCCTGGCCGTCGATTGGAATATTGAGTATTGAGACGAGAACGAGACAGTCTTGGGACAGCCGCCGCCAGAGACAGTTGGGATCCAGCCACGGCCAAGGATAGTTGAGTACTGAGCCAGTCACGTGATATTGTAAGTCATAATAATTGTAAGAGTGGGTGTCCAATAAAGATTCGCTCAATCCGAGACCCACGTGAAGTTATCTGTCGCGTGACATACCCAACACGTGACAATATAATAACATCTGTAATATTTTAGATTAGATATTAATTGAAAAGATCATGAAAGTGGTGGCAAGCTTTGCTTGTTACTTGGATTATACTTTGACCCTGACGATGGAGGCGATATGTTCCTCCGAAACGTCCGTTGACTTTCAGCGGACTACACGGCGTTATATCCCAGAATACAGAATACTTCATAAGCTCAGAGCCCGCATGTTTTCCGTGGGCTATTTATGGAATCTGTCAGCAACTGGACAGTAAAGTGTCTAGTTGGAGGGCACTAGATGGATTGGAAGGGATCTGGGAGGAAGCGATCGTGGCAGTCAGGACATTCACTGTCCAGGATGCAATTCTAACCGAGCCCTAGAACATTACCGCTGTGCCAACATGCTTGACTCCTCGTCACCTTTATTTCTATAACTGAAAATGCTGACAGGCGCATTGTTGGCATTTGGCTGTAGTGGACAGCATCCTTGGAGTCGGATGATGTGGGGCCTTCACGACAGTAAATACGAAGGCTGCGGTCTTCTGGCCTGTGACGCTGTGTAGTTCGATGCTACACACTGCCTCCATATTCAGGGTAGAAAAAGCCAGACGAAAAATCCCTGCATAAGCAGGCTTTACGGTATGTTCCTTCGAAACGTCGGTCTCCCAACTGCACTGCGTTACGATTCCTAAAATTCAGTTCCTCGCCTTCTCGTCTGCACTATGCAGGCAATCTAACCTGTTCACTTATCTACCATGAAGACGGAGGCAATAGGATCGTCTGTAATTTGGATAGGCCTATGTACTCGTATCTACCAGACTACACCCCGTAACAGTCCTTCATAGTCAGTGATGTGATAACTTCATGTGATACAGCAATAGAAGGACTGTTGAGAGATGTGTTTTCTGTGCGGTCCGTGCCGGGGTTATATAGCGTGGATCAGCTGCCATTACGACAGAGTCTTGGGACGGCAGTTAGAAGAGTCAGTTGTTGACACTTGTCCCCCGTTAAGGAGGTGAACGCGAAGCTGAGGAAGCTACGGGTTGGAAGCCGTTGCCAGGCGATACCCGGTGAAGATACAGTAGACTAAGAAGACTGCTTTCGTGCTGCAGTGAACTGTAGAGTGTGTGAATTAGCTATAGCGCTGTAGTGTTTTTTATTGCTAGTGGGGTGGGACTAAGTCCCTTGTACTGCGGCCACTTCTGGCCTATTGTACCAGCCCCAGATGATAGGTGAGAGTGATTGTGGAGCAAGTGGTGGAATGAAGATTGACAGGGGAAACCGAAGTACTCGGAGAAAATCTGCCCCAGCGCCACTTTGTCCACCACAAATCCCACTTGACCAGACCCAGGATCGAACCCGGGCCGCCGCGATGGGAAGAGAGCTATGTCACTGCCTAGCGCTGCACTTACTTGTAATTACGTTCTGTAAGTGTTCAATAAATTCAATTACCAATCCAAACCCCGTCTATAGTCACTCATGCACGTGACAATATTGTAGCATCTGCTTCTGTATTCCTTCTTCAGTGTTTGTATTCCGATGGTTTATTCAATTTCATATCTGTCTTTTATTTGACTGCATTTTCAGTTCTATCCTAAAGTCTCAGTACAGTCTGGTTTAGTGCGGCCTCTGAGTGTTCTTGAGTGTCTCAGCCCTATTGACTGTACGAAGTTCACATTTGTCCCTTTAAGTGTACGAGATTCACTTCATATTGCGAAGGACTTACTCTGTATAACAAAGTAATTAATTAGAAGCCTAAATTCCTGTTATCTGTATTATCACATGTGTTACAATTATTCGTATATAACCATGGGTGAAATCCAATAAATCGGTTTTTATAAAATTTTCGTAGTGTGCGGTAGGGTTAGACTGAGCCCTTAGGGCACCCTCCTCCACTAGTGGACCCATTGTACCGGCCCGGATGGTAGATGAGTATGGATCTTCGGCTCAATGAGAATTGGGAGGGGAAACTAAAATACTCAGATAAAACCTGCCTCATTTCCACTTGTACAACACAAATCCCGCATGGCCTTAGTTCGAACCGGGGTCGCCGCGGTGGGAAGCCGACGACTAACCCCTTGAGCTATGTCACGAACCTATACATGGGTTACGGAAGTCAAGTGACTTCATCTTACGCGGTCTCTTGTCTGCTTAATGACTGTATGTACGCTTATAAGTGAGGGATCGAATGATGTGGCGGAGAGGCTACAATTCCTCTTTCGTATTCGGAAGGTCCCGGGTTCAAATCTCTCCTCGGGACCGTACAAATTAAGGTCATCAACGGCTTTTTTAATCCATCCTCCTAAACGCTGTGCCGGTGCCCTAAATTAGGCCACGACCACTTCCTTCACGTGATAGCAAATTGATTAAACACTAATCATACGGCCCACTGAAAGCGTCACTAGATAAAAGGACCAAGACTCTAATCGAGGAGAGCGTAGGATAAATTGTGGCTTTTAGAGAAAAATGCGCAGAAAAAGTGACCTTACATGACAAATGAAAATTTTTAGAGCGTGTCTCATAACTGAATTGCATGGCGCTCACTCTTACATGCAGTTAGATAAAGGTCAAGTTGTAAAAAGAAAAGGTAAAGCTATCCCTTTAATAGACCGTGGAGGCCCATAGGGCTCTGAGACGTCGAGGCTCCCACATTTTCTAGACAGTCGGCACACAGATAGCGGTGAGGTTAAGTAAAGCTATCTCTGTAACAGGCCGTGGATGCCCATAGGGCTCTGAGACGTCGAGGCTCCCACATTTTCTAGACAATCAGCTCACAGATGGCGGTGAGGTTAAGTAAAGCTATCCCCGTAACAGACCGTGGAGAATCATAGGGTTATGAGACGTCGAGGTCCCCAAATTTTCTAGACGGTGAGCTCGCAGATGTCGGTGAGGTTGTCAGCTTTACGCGCCAAAAATTAAATTGTTATGTGTGCTTAATGAAACAACACAACGTGAAGACGTACGGGGACACTTGCTGGAAGTGAGTGGTCAGATTCACGCCTCGGCCGTTTTAACCTGGGGGAACAGACCCCGTACCCACTGGACAGAAAGGAGTGTGAACGCCATAGCTGGTCTGTATCATGCGGCGAGAAAGATTTAAATAAAAATTTAATAAGTTTCGATTCACGCGAGCAGCGATCTCCCTGTGCTTTAACTAAGTAAGCACTACGCCATGAAGGCGTATGGGGGAGTGAATGTTTAGATCCACATTTTCTTGACATTGGCACTAGGTGGAGGTGAGTGGTCAGCTTCACGCCTCGAACGCTTTACCCCCGGAGAAGGAGCCCCAGGTACCCTTGGGTAGGAGGTTGGGTGAACCCCAGAGCCGGTCTGGACCACATAGAGAAGTGAAAATTCTTGACCCCCACCGGGACTCGAATTCCGACTCCTTTGTCGTCGAACCCGTAGCCAGTCGGTTTCTGTTCTAATTATCTCTGGGAATCCGGCTCTCCTGACCGATGTCTTTTCGTGGTTTCATTCAGTCCCTTCACGTGCCGGGATAGGACCCCGGTCAGTCATTTTGCAATCTGACGCTCTGTGGTCTAGATAAAAGACAGCATTAACCAGTTTGTCTGTCACGGCGTGATTTCCGTAACGCAGGAAGGGACTTTTCCGTGTAACTGAGATGACCCTCACGCTTCCAACGGATAGATGACGTCATCCATCTGTGAGGGATGCAGACCAACCAGAAGCGGGATTTGTCGCCATTCTAATGATAAATAACGTCACGCGAGGGTCGAACCCATATTTTTTCATTGTCAAAGATATTGGTAGATTCCAAAGGGTTCTGACGATGGAGGGTAACACACAGAATTACTTGGGTTTTGGACTTTTTCCATCGTCTGGAATTTTAGGTAACAGAGAACACGACTTTTCGGAAAATGGATCTGTTTCCGTCTTCAGGTCACTGGTCCAGTAATTGAGATTAGCTCTTTCTAAGGGGCCCAACTGAGTAGGTGTCTTCCTTTCTCACCTGAAGACGGAAACAGATCTAGTTTACAAAACGTCGTGTCCTCTATTACCTAACATTTCGAACGATGGAAAAAAATCCAAACCCCCAGTAATTCCGTGTGTCAAAGATATTGTTAGCGAGTTGCCTGTCTCTGAGCCTGCCGAACCCGCAGTTTTGTTGGTCGTCACACGTTAGCGTAACCTGTCATCTTGATTGTTCTTGTGAAGGCCGGACGAGTGGACAGCTGATTTGCCTGAAGCCATTCCGTAGCCCAGTTATAGCCTGTTCCGGTTGTAAGGCGAGTCTTCAGCGTCGCCAACTTCCTGCTTCGTAACACCGCCCTCCTGTACGTCGCATTGCAACATAGACCAGACAATGGAGATCAGATGGAGGCAGAGAGTGGAATAATAAAAATACTAGCCCTCATTAATTATCTCTCAAGTGGTGGCGGAGTGGGGGGACACTTTCTCGTTTAAGTGGACACTGGGACTTTCAGGCGGGTGGAAGTTTGTAAGGGAGAAGGCGGGCGGAGGAACAGGAGGCCAGTTAGTAACCAGTGACTTGTCTAAAAGTGGGAGAGAAATGGGGAGGAGGGGGGGGGCAGCACGTATGAGCTGACTTTTAGAGCTAACCTTTCAAAAGAAACTGCTGTCTTGCTCGTATCTCTACCCCACGAAAACTTAGCAGGGTATGAGCGAAAGTGAAGACATGGCTGACACCCCACCCTTGCATCACGAAGGGTATATAACAGAAGTTGGGTGGATTTGCGAATCAGTTTATCCAGTCAGAAGACGACTGGTCACTTCATTCAGATCCGAGGCTCAGGACAATGATAATATCGGTAAGTGACCAGTCAAGTGAAGACTAACCGAAACGTATCTCGACAGATGGTGACACAGTTCATGTGCGTGTGATGTACAGTAGGCTAGAGTGAGACACAACGTGTGACTAACCCTCTAAAGCGTGAAGGCCGTGTAAGTAACATATAAGAGCTCGGTTCGTACCTCACAGGAAACACACGCCGTCTCCGTAACAACAACCAACCGGTTAATTCTGTTTAGGGAAATAATCGCTGATTATTTCAGATTCGTATGAAACACAAATTATACTCCGTGAGAAAGAAATAAGAACTTATTTCTGGTAAAGGAAGTGGTACATATAGTTACCACGACGTTTTAAGGGGTTCACGTAACAGCAAAAAATTAATTTTGGAATCGTTCCGTGGCTTGTTATTCCAAATTTGTAAAAGTGATTCAAATTCGTCATAACGATTTTTTTTCTCCTTAAATCTATTTTATTTTCGTGACCCTTGTAGAATAAAGATCACACGTTTATTTCGAACATCACTTGTCGATCCTAATATGTGACAAGTGGTTTGTAAATTGCATCACTGGGTACAGCGACATGAAGGTCCAGTGGGTAAGCTTTCTTATTTCGTGTATGTGAGAATCTGGGTTCAGATCTTGTCCCCGAGCCCCTGACTCAGGTGTTCTATAAGATTATGTGGCATTTACGGGAATTATAATTTTCTCAGACAACCAGTCGTGTGAATATGGAGTTGGGATATGCTATTTCGGAGAACCATTTTGTAGCTTTTCCCCAGTATCGGAATTTTGCATGAAATTAGTTCACGACTGTTTAGTTCCGCCCAGTTTCCACTTCGTTATTTACTAACCGCTCCACCGTCCGGCACTTGTAGCCTTAGCTACTGGCAAAGTAAAAAGTAAAGCTATCCCTGTATCAGGCCGCGAAGGCCCATAGTGGTGTGAGACGTCGAGGCTCCCACATTTTCTAGACAAACGGCTCAAAAATTGCGGTAAGGTTGTCAGCCTTACACGCCGGCCGCCCTTTACTCCCGAAGAAAAATTTTTAATTAATTCCTGGTACTCTTTCTGTTAGAGGCTGAGTCGACCCCAGGGCCATAGTGCGGCTGCTTAGCTACTGGCAGCGGCGATAAATAAACATAGGCATACCGCGTAATTGCCTCCTGACACTGAAAGAGATGTGAACAGGACAGGACAATGATCTTGCGCTCCAGACTCTCTGGAGCACATCACACAGTACTGAATTCTGAATGCCATTCTTTTGTTTTCTTTTTTCTCTCAACACCTTGGTAGGGGAACTTGCCGAATTGCGTGACATACCTTGTTTCGGGACACGACAAGCTATATTCGCTATATCAGATGTTCCTTCCACGGTTCTAACAATTCTCCAAAATTGCTGCTTGTAGCCTCTTAGTTGTAGTGTTCTTCCGCCTTTAAAAGTTTAGCTACTATGACACTGACACGGAAACACCGTGTCCCGGGATAAGAACGGGTACTTCTGCGTTGGTTTCCCTCCGTTATTTTCCAATTACCTGCTCATAAGCGGTCTGTCATCTTTGTTTGTAACCAAGTATAACATTCACCGGACGGCGCGTAGCTAGTTGGTTGAGGCAGTATGCTACAAGATGGAAAGTCGCGGGTTCGAGTCCCGATCAGGTCACTGACCTAATCCTTCCAGCCGTACTATGGCCGTAGGATCGACTCAGTCCCTTAACAGAAATCTTCTGTGTGTAAAGGGCGACCGGCGCTTAAGGCTGACAACCTCACCGCCATCTGTGAGCTGATTGCCTAGTAAAATGTGGGAGCCTCAATGTCTCAACCCTGTGGGCCTCGGCGGCCTGATACAGGGATAGCTTTACCTTTTTATTTTCCAACATTTGCAGTTGGTACAAGATTGCCCGTTGACCTGTGCGACATGGACTGTCACATGAAATGTTCAGACTGGTCAAGGTCTATATGCGTTGAAGAAAGTTTGTTGTTTTGCTTGCTATAGACTTATTCGAATCCGCCAACTATGACAACAGAAATTTCCCCTTCTAAGTTAGTGATTTTCTTCTTGAAGTAACTCTTAAATTAATTCTACGTTCAGACAGTCACAAATGTAGGCCTAATCGGATCTTAAGTAGATGCCCGAGGTATTTACGGTGTAAGAAATCAGCCCGCATTTTGAAAGATGTTTAATATAGTGAAAAATTTAGTTTACAAATAAAATACTTGAGTAAGAGCATCAGTAGAGAACAGTTTATCGTTGCCGAAAACATCAAACTATAAAACTTGTTAGATCTTGTCACGGAATTCAGAAACTTCCTCGTATTGTCGTACTGGTACACGTGGATAAACCAGCTACTGAAATTGCCACTAGGCGTGTTTAAGTAGGTCAATAAACAGGGCAGTGTTGACTGGGGAACCGAACCGAGGCTGGGCTCGTCACGTGCGGCCACTGTAACATTTGGCAAGTCCTTACGACGGGGATGTGTACAGTTCCTGCTTACCTTCCTTATATCGTGGCTTTCCGAATGGGTTTGATGACGTCAGCATTACACTATTAACCCGAATCTCGAACATTTTGTTTACTTTTACGTAATACTCAGTAGTCTCAGTAGCTATACAGTTTTTTCAAGGAAAAATAGATAAACTAACGGTAAAGTGAACAGAAAATAAAATTTCCTCGACTATCGTTCTTTAAAAGATTCCCATTGTTACTCTGCTTACTAAGATTTCGGTGGTTGCTACATCTCGGCAGTGTGCCGCTAGGGGCGCTCACATATCACAAGTTTATTATCGATTGTGTGACACTAAAAAGTACGAATTTGGGGGTGACCTCCAGCGGCATCACTTGAAACACGCAGACATGCAGACAGACGGTTTCAGTGTGACGTTGTTTAAATAACGCAGAATTAAGCTTTGCTACAACACGCGGACGCGCAAGAAGTAACTCAGATTCTGTGAAACTTCTCACTGAGTCATGCAGCTCGTTGGGTTTGAGGTTATAATGGCGGCGACTATAGAGAACGTCTTCTGTGTTGTGATGTTGGGCTTCCTCCAAACTATGCATCGTTACAGCCCACAAATTTGGTTTTTTAACGACACGTCTCGATTTAAAACATGAATGACCAACGAATACATGTTATTCCTACTCAAATGGACGCTGTTTCCTGATTAGCCTGTGACAGGGAATCATATCTCCTCAGTGTTGGCATTTTGTGTTGTGCGTTTCAGATCGTCGTCGGCCTGACGGCGCTGTCCGTCGTCACTTCGTCTGGGCTGTCCGCCAAGGACAAGCGAGGGCTGTTTGACCTGGGCTATGGTTATGGCATCAGTGGCTTCGGCGAGTTCGGTGCCCTGGCAACCGGAGGTTTCAGTCACGGCTTGCTGCCAGCCGGTGTGCCGTACGGCTATGGGCAAGGTTTGGGGCTGCTGTTGGAGCCGCTCGCGCACACCAAGCACATCGCCTACCCTGTCAAGGTCCCGGTGGAGAAGGTCGTTCACGTTCCTGTTGAGAAACCTGTACCTTATCCTGTCAGTGTCCCAGTTGACAGGCCCGTCCCTGTGGCTGTGCCTGTCGAAAAGCCCGTACCTTACCCTGTCGTTAAAAATGTGCCAGTCCCGGTCAAGGTCCCTGTGGATAGACCATATCCTGTTGTTGTCCATGTAGAGAAGCCCGTCGCAGTCCCACACGAAGTCAGAGTTCCAGTCCCGCAACCGTACCCAGTTGTTGTTCGTAAACCATACCCAGTTGTTGTCGAGAAGACTGTGCAAGTCCCGCAACCTTATCCGGTCCACGTGAAGGTCCCAGTACCGCAGCCATACCCCGTTCACGTCAAGGTTCCAGTCGCTGTCCCTGTTGACCGCCCATACCCGGTTGAAGTAAAGGTCCCAGTTGACCGCCCCTACCCAGTCCACGTACCCAAACCGTACCCGGTGACAGTAGAGAAACCTGTCCCTTACCCGGTAGCTAAGCCTGTCCCTTACCCCGTTAATGTCCCCGTGGACCGTCCCTATCCTGTCCCTGTGCCCAAACCATATCCCGTGACCGTTTACAAGGAAGTCCCCGTCGCAGTTCCAAGACCAGTTCCATATCCTGTAGAGAAACCAGTAGCAGTTCCGGTGAAGGTGCCAGTTGACAGACCCTACCCTGTAGCAGTGCCAAAGCCATACCCAGTAGCAGTAGACAGACCTGTCCCTTATGAAGTTGAGAGACCAGTACCATACCCTGTCAAAATCCCTGTTGAGAGACCGATCCCTGTCCCTGTTGAAAAACCAGTCCCATACCCTGTCAAAATCCCTGTTGAGAGACCCGTCCCTATCGCTATCGAGAGACCAGTCCCATACCCTGTCAAAATCGCTGTTGAGAGACCCGTCCCTTACGCAATCGAAAAGTTACCGATTGCCTACCCAGTGAAGGGCGGATATGGCGAATATTACTGATCGGACTGTACGCTTCTTCAGGTTAACGTATGAAATAAGAAACTGTCCCTACAGTTTAATATTTGACTGATTCTCTGTACCTTCAGCAACATGTAACGCGGTGTGATCTATTCTATTTTATGTGAATATGGCTTTACCGTGATAGTAAGACAGTCATGACTGAGACTGAAAGAGGCAGAGTAAATCAGTGTCAGGATACAAAATCGGACGTTCAGGTCACTTCCTGTGTAGTCGAAGCACAGAAACAACGACATATGTAACACTACTTGTTTCTCATTGTAAAACATTTCTTGTGGACGTTGCGTTTCTTTTGTTGTTTTTAGATGACTCAAGAGATTAGCAATTCCTCATACAAATCATCTCGCTGTTATTCCTCGCCGCAACACATCCTCGAGTGTAATATTCTGCGACTTGTAGCGTCCATGAAGGATTTTGCGTAACAATGAAGTCTTTTGTAAGTGTGATTGAAACTTGGTGTGTTTCATTCTGTACAAACTAACATTTTTATATAAGCTTTAAGTACAGTGGAAGTTGTAATAAAGTATTTGAGAAAATATTTACGTCTTGTTACTTAATACTGTTTAGCAATAACCCACGAACCGCATCCATCACACGTTCTCGTATCTTCTTCATTAAGATACATATTTATATCGACTGAAATATGTTACCCAAATTAAATTTGTAAAGGGATGTAGCGACTGGCTGGACGACCGAGGGGTCGGAATTCTAGCCCCGGTAGGGGGCAAGAATTTTCTCTTCTCTGTAGCGTCCAGGCCGGTTATGGCGCTCACCCAGCCTACTCTCCAATGGGTACCTGGGGACTCTTCTCCCTGGGGTAGAGTTGCCGGAGCGTGAAGCTGACCATTCAACTCCAACTAGTGCCGAGGTCAAGAAAACATGGATCTATACATTCATTCCCCTATACACTTTCATGGTGTAGTGCTTAATTGATTATGCAGAGGGACGTTACCTTTTTTACCTTTACCATGTGCTCAATGTTGCATGGTTTGTGAGACCTAAATTCCTTTCATAACATTAAGGTGACTGCTTTAAGATGTTACATAACGCACGTGTCCCTGAAGCGTAAACCAATCTAACCTAGTCACACCCTGAAATATCAGCATCATAGAGACATCTGTCGGGATCTGTAAACACTAAATGTGGAATACATACTTTATTTCGTTGACTCAGGCGGTAAGCGATTCGTGAGGGCTCCGGTTCGAATCCAGCCTGACATCGACTATCGTGGATAAGGTGTTTCGTGACTTTGCTTAGTCTATCTCCATGTAAATTCCGGGATAGTACCTTAAATTAGGCCAGGATCACCTCCGCATTTTTCTTTGGCAATCATGGTTTACTGGCATCCAATCATTCCGCAGTATTTCATCGCCTGTTGCTTACCGCTTCGTAAATTATTTTTTCACCGGCTCTACAGCCCCCTTGGGACCTGGCCGCTGATTTTCAGTTTCATGATCATTTTACAGACGGTAGGACTCCTTGGACGAGTGATCAGCTCGTCGCAAGTGCTCTACCTAAACACGGGACAACATAAACACAGAATAAACACATACACATACCAAACATCCATGCCTTATGTTGGATTCAAATCCACGATCCCGGCTTCCGAGCGAGCGAAGACAGTGCATGCCTTAGACCTCTCGGCTACCGTGACCGGCGCTTTGTTAAATGCCCTACAAATAAATAGAATACAGTAAACCCTCGATAATCCGGAGTAATGGGAGGTCATCCGAATTAGTGAAGCAAAAGGTAGCCAGTTCGAGAACCCATAGGAATCATAATGATGTGACATTATTAGTAAAACAGGGTAGGGTAAACCATGGGCTTTGAGAAGAAATTCAGCTGCTACCTCAAAGAATACAAGAGCCAGGATAGCTCAGTCGGTATAGCGACTGGCTACGGTTTGGACGGCGGAAGGATCGGAGTTCGAGTCCCGGTAGGGTCAAGAATTTTCTGTCCTCAACGTCGTCCATACCGGCTCTAGGGTCCACCCTACTTTCTATCCAATAAGTACCCGGGGGTAAAGCGGCCAAGGTGTGAAGCTGGCCACTCACATCCAACAAGTGCCGAGGTCAAGAAAATGTGGATCTATACATCCACTCCCCCATACGCCTTTATGGAGTAGTGATTAATTCGTTGGGCACAGGGACAGCTTCTGCTTAGACATGTACTGGTTTCGAAATGGGGCCACCCGTTTGATGAAGGAGGGGTCAGTCTTTCTGGAGATAGTTCAGTAAGTTGCTGCTGGTCCTCGCCAGCAGAGTTGGTCTCACGAGACTCGTCACCGTCGTACTAAAGACGACGTTAAAAACGCACGTCGCAATATGCTGAGCCTTAGTTACGTGAACAGTCTCTCTCTCTCGAGCATGCGCAGTGATACGAATTCAGCAGTAACAAGGCTGTGAGTGTTATGGTAACAACGCAACAACATGAAACATATGGCTTCCTCACAAAAGTAAACAGGCACAGACGCAAGAAGAAAAACTAATTTTTCATCTTCTCAGCTGTAGACATGTGTGATTATGTAGACTGTACTGAATTTAATTATATCTTTATTTGCTGTCAGACTTTCATGTAGATTCGTTACGCAAACGGGTAGCCATTCCAGTGACCTTTAGAAAAGCTGTCAATGCAAAACGTGTCTAAGGCTCATTTCGCGCAGGCAAAAAACGCTAGAGCAGTATGAATGTCATGTCCTTCTCCGTGGCCTATTTGTGGGCCAAGTTCTCATGTAAGTAGCAGCTTTCGAAACGTTGTACCGTACATTTAAGGCGATGGGCGATTTTCAACACAGTGCTTTTATAATTAAGAAAATATCGCCCCAATCTTCACAATCGAGGAATAAGCGAACGAAGGAACCAGCGTGAAGCAGGTACAAGCTCTGTGACATTAAGTGAAACTCCATAATTATCTTTATCTTCTCACTCCTTCCCTGTCGAATTGGAGTGTCTTGCGCTTCGTATTCATCAGATCACGGGTTCACGTCTTGGTGCGGAAACCGGCTATGTGGAATGAAGCATTCGCGGTTTATCTCAGTGCGTCCATGCAAACTGCGGGATTCTTGCCTTAAAATAGGTCACAACCACTTCCACATCACTTGCAGTTTATTAACACTAGCCCTCGTTCCATTCGACGCTGAGCTGCTAGCTACTCATATCCCAGAAGATACGATTCTTTATTACTAGCATACTTTCCTAAAGTAGGCTTATGCGATTACTTTGCTGTCTGTGTATCTCCGTATTCCTGCTCTCAACTTCTGAATGCCTGAACCAGTCCTTACGATACTTGGTATGTATATCATGACACCAGAAGTCATCTCAACGGCGTACTTCATAAATCCCTCACATCAGTCTATCTATATGTTTATGCCCCTATCGTTGCTAGGCAACTGATATGTAAAAAAACGTTACCGCGGCAACGAATACACACCAAACAATAGAAAAATTGTTAGGCGTCTCATTTTCTGTGCTGTGGGTGTCGTACCAAGGAAAGTAGTCGCTTTCTTCTCATGTCTTGTTTCTTCGTTCATATTGCTAAATCCCATGGAAGGGGCAAAGGGGAGAGGGGGCTCAGAGTGTTTTGTGCTCAACAGGGGAGCCCCAGAGTGTGGGACCTACACTGGACTCTTTTCTTAGAGTCGTAGTTGCAGTATATCGAAAGTTTTAATGTCATCAACAATCATTTGTCACGCCTCGCCTCGTTTTACCGAGTGGCTTACGAAATAAGGACCTCATAATTGTATTGGATAATCACGTGACAGATATTAGATATGGCCGACGGCGTGTAACCCGTCATTTCGTGGAATAAATATCTCCACATACAACTCATTATGGATTTTTTTTTCCCCGCTTGGAATTGCTACCAATAAAAACTATTTAATTAGCGTGTTCTGATCTCTGTTACCTGGCAACATATCCTGGTTACGTTCTGAACTGGTTCACCTCCCGCCATGTTTCGATATGTCATAAAAAGTGAAATTTCTTTTCCTGACTCAACGCACCCGCTCTCAGCGACTCTATCGGTCGTTATGTGAAGCACAACTTGTCTTCCTCCGTCTTAATGAAGTCTGGAATGAATCAGTAAACATTTGCAATGTCAAATTTGAAGAATCGAATCTCCTAGGATGTAAAACCGTGTACAAAAAAGTAAAGATGTCCCTGTGTTTAACTAATTAAGCACTACGCCATGAAGTGGATGTATAGATACTCGTACACGTGTTCTTGACCTCGGCACTAGGTGGTGAGTGGTCACCTTCACGCCCCGGCCGGTCTGGACGGCGTGAAGAGAAGAATTTTTGTACTGCCAGGAATCGAATCTGAGCCGTCCATCCTACAGTCAGTCGCTATACCAACCGATGTTTCGGAGCAACATGTCGCCTCCACTTTCAGAGTGAAAAATAAGTCAAGAAATCTCGCTTATCCTTCGACCCTGAAGATGGGAAGATATCTTCATCCGAAACGTCTTTAAACGGCGTTAAATCCCCAGAGGATATGATTCTTCATAACCGCCAATATGATGACCTCAAGTCCTACAGTATAAAATTTGATTTAAGAAGCAAAGAAAATTGTCTTCTCTCTTCTCCGAACAGCATTCTTGCTGTGGCTCAGTCTTCTACCCAGAAGATCCAGGTAACATATTCCTCCGAAACGTCGGTGAAATATCATTGGACTACGACCTACTACATCCCGAAGCATACTAGACTACACAGTTACCGCTGCGATAACCTCAAAATCTGCGCAACGTGTCTGTATTTTTGAGACCTACATAATAATAATAATAATTCCATCTTCCTCCGAAACGTCGGTTAACACCACATATACACGGTGCTAAATCCCAGAAGACTGCTTTCTTCATATTCACCGCCGTGAAAGCCTCAGATCTTACAATAGTAATTCCTGTTCTTTTATTTGGGAAAACACGGATCTCGTTTTTATCTACAACTTTTGTAAGATTTTAAGTTCTCATGGCCGTGACTGAAGAATACCGTCTTCTGGGATGTGGCGCCGTGTAGGTATTCTTTAAACTGACGTGCTGACAGTTCCTCCGAAACGTCAGCTTACACAATATCTACACGGCGCCACATCCCAAAGACAGCATTCTTCATCTGAGACTTTTGTTGAAAACATTTTTCGCTCCGGTAAACATTTAGCGAGTTGCGCATGAGACATGCGCAGAAACGCACTTGCATACTCAGATGACGTGCCTGTTATTGTCCGATGTGAACTAGAATTGTCCTCTTGAGAAAAGTCCTTCTGTCCAACCATAACTCGTGTACATGCGCGTTGTGTTCCGTTTGGGACCCAGACGGGATAGTTTTTCGTTAAAAGCTAATATTTCGGATCGTGGTTCCGCTTCCATCATCAGGTGGATATAGGAAACCTACCATTTTGGTTCCATTAGATGGAGTTGATCTACATCTGTGGGGATGTAGTTGTCCCGCCACATTAGGTTTCACACTTCTTAGTATGTCAGAAACAGAGCCAACTTACGAAACGTCGTGACTTATCCAAAAAGACA